GGAGAGGAGTGCGGCAGGCCCGTCCCTTCCAGACGCCGCCATGCCGTTGCTTACAAAAGAGCCTGCAGACGTCATGTTACCGGGAGACCTCCCCAGTAGGGCTCTGCAATATTTCTTTCCAACCACGAAGCAACCTCTAGACCCAGGTGTTGGCTCTGCCACCTATAACTTGCCCGTGAAGACCCTAGCTCAGCTTTTACCACAGGTATTTACAACCTGCAATAACAGAATGAACTGGTCGGCTCTCGCCTGGCCTGGCCTGGCAGCAGCCTAGGTAAGTCTTCCAACACCAGTTACTTTTTATCCCCTGAGATTACCTATGGGGCACGCGCAATTATAAAAATGGTCTTTGTGGTTGGACATTTGCCTCAGGCGTCACACTGAATGGGCATGAACAGAGAGAAAGATGGCTGTGAGCAGGGAGAGAGCGAAAGGGGGAGACAGGAAGGCAGGAGGAGGTGGGGCGGCCGGCCAGGCTGCCAGACCCCTACACACCACACACTACACGTGTGAGACGCGAAAGCGTTCTGGGCAGACAACGCTTCGTTCACAGGACGCTTTGTATTTACAGGCTTTGTGAAGCAGATCCTTCCTTTGAAATACGCAGCATGAACATAACATGGAGTAGCAGACCGGGAAATAAATGTTGCCCCCCAGGAGCTTCTCCCGGGACATGGGTGTCATTTATTCCCACAGAAAGCGCCGGTCTGGCAGACCCCCCATCATGCAATCCGCTGAGTGAAAAGTACTCACCCGGCCTCGATCCAGGATCCCCAAACTGCAGGGCGGAGCATGGAAGGAACAAAGCACCATAACATGACCAGTGAGCAGGTAGAGTCACAGGACAAAAAGAGGCCCGGCAGCGACGACTGGACGGCGTCCAGTGCAGCCGAGAGCGGCCTCACGGGCACAGCTGCCGCGGCGGAAACGCTCCCCTCGCCAACCCCAGTTTGCAACTGGGCTTTCTGCACAATACATTTAAGCGACTCGTCCTCATGCTCAGAATAATTTATTTCAGCCTCTTCATCTTGTTCCCTCGTTTTCAAAAGAAAAATGTGCTGGCATTGGTTCTCAATTTTTTTTTTTTACCAATCAGTGTGTGTGGTAGAGCAATACAGCAATTCTTCATTACACTAATGGGGGAAAAATTAACTTGACATCAAGCCTAATTGAGTAAAACCTCCCTAATTCTTCTAAATCGGGTAAGTCCTGCTTGATTAGTGAAAGCAATTTAGTGGGGAACGTGTGGAGATAAACACACTTCCCCGGCTCACAGCAAGCCCGGAGTGGCAGAGCTGACGGAGCCTGCCAGGCCCGGGCTGAGTGTCGCCTGTGTCTAGGTAAGCGGGTGCCGTCTGGCCTGTGCGTGGCTGCCACTCTGTGTAGAGACCCGCAGCGCTCGGGGCGCGTGTTTGCCCCTGTTGAGGATCTCTACACAGCAGAGACAATTGCTTGCGACATTTGGCACGTCGCAGAAACTAGTGGGCCTTAGCAAGCAAACAGCTTCCTGGGGGCTGATTAAGAACCACTGCATCCTGGGCACTTCATTTTCCAGAATTAGAATGGACAACTGCTTACAAAGAGGAAAGCACCTGCTGTCACCAGGTGGCTGTTTTGCTCAATCTTATTAACCCAGTGAGCTCCCCAGGCGTCAAGGTGGCTTCAGCACCATCTTCTCACAAAGTTTGGGCGGCTGTCACCTGCACACGCCACCCCCAGCCCCTTTCGAGGCATGGCCCTCCTGGCCAGCACCTCTGGGCTCCTCCAGCACACCGCACCTGCTCCTGGTGTGTGTGCCGGCCTCTAAGGCCTCGGGTGCACGGAGGTGCTTGTCATGTGGGTATGCTTTTCTGTCACAAAGTGTATTTAGACTTTAATTTCACTTAAAGTAGTGCTCTTAAGTGACGAGAGGCATTCCCGCCAGCAAGCAGCAGAGCTTTGGTAAAAGAACTCACTACGAGCCACCTGTGTAAGTCGGGCCTGGCCTCTGTGGCGCGGCCTGCACCCCTGGGAGGCGGTGACAGCACGCCAGCCCGTCGGCCTGGGGCGTTCACAGGCGGCGCCTCTGTCCAGTACGGGACAGGAGCACCGCCCGCTGCTGGGAACGGCTGACGGCTGAAGCGCGTCTGCAGTGGAACCAGGGACATTTGAAAGGAGCCGAACGCAGGCAGCGGACTCCGCCAAGCTCTCAGGTTTGCTACGCTGTCTGGTCGACAGGACGGGAGCTTGGACCAGCAGCCAAGACAGATCAGCTCCCCTCCACCCTTCCTGAGAGCCACCACCAGCAGGCGTAGTCGGGAGCATGCAGCTTGCGAACACTACTCAACCTTTACTCACTACTTACCGTCCCCTTCCCCGCTCCGAAACTTTTCCTGCCGCTCCCCAAGTTTGTCCCTCCCTGGGGTGGTTTCCTAGCAGAAGCATGCGGAGGAGTGCAGGGTGCTGTTGAGCCGGAAGACCTGGGGGCCAGGATGTTGGGGTGTTGGCCCTGAGCTGGAGCTGAACAACTGTACCCCAGAAGACACTGCCTGGTGGTCTTGTTTCAGTGGCAGCTCACCCCTTCAGAAGTTGCACGGTGTGGGGATGGGGAAGGAGAAAGTCTTAGAAATCTTGAGCGATACTGAATTGGGAGAAAAGAGCCCTTTGCTCCTCCGCCAGGCAGGGCAGGGCGGTGGGCAGTGAGACCGGCGGCTGCGGGGCTTCTGAGCAGCTGTTCTTGAAAACCCAGCTGCGCCCTGCAGCCGGGGAGAGCGCAGGCAGCACCAGGGAGCCGTCTGGGGCACCAACCCGCCGCCCCTGGCAGCTCCCGCCAGCCACCGAGTGGCCGGAGGGGTGGGAGTGGGGAGATGGACCGTGAGGGGCTCAGCAGCTGCCGGGCAGTCCCAGACCTGCCCCCAGACTGGGGCGCAGCCCCACTGATAAGTGCCTGCTGCAAGCGCCGGCCCAAGGAGGCGGCGCCCCCTCTGAGGTTCTGGCTTGTGGGCTTCGGGCACGCAGAGGAAAGGAACCGGCTTCTGCTGCTACCTCTGGGGGTTAGCACACTCCTGACTGAACTAGTAACTCGGTTTTACGTGAAGCACGGTGGGCTGGACACACAACCTCTCTTAAATAAAGGGGCAGAACTGCCATGCAGCCACAGGAGGGAGGACCCCAGCTGGCCGGTCTGCGGCTCAGCGGGCGGCACACGGCCAGCGGCGTGTGGGCGCGGGCAGCGCGCGCCCCCTCGTGGCCGCGCAGGGCACAGCACACAGAGCGCAGGCAGCCGGCCAGAGCTGGGCCTGGGGGCCGCGGAGGGGCTTCCCGCGTGGCCACATGGCCGGTCCGGGGGAGCCGGCTGGCGTGTGAGGGGAAGGTGGGGCTGGGGCAGAGGCAAGGCAGGTGCGGAAATGGAGCCGGCGCCTCATGTCGCTGCCTGCCCGTCCTCCCGCCATCCCCCGCACCCCCCAACACCCGCGGTGTTCCCACAGGCCCGCAGAGCCTGACCTTTGCTGGGTCTGGGGCAAGGGGGTCTAGAAATGTATAAGATGTAATATCAAGGTAACTGTTAAACAAGTCATCTTCTATCCTCCTCCTGTGACAATTATGTTTCCATGGCGACACAATTATTGGAAACTGCTGTGAAGCCAAGGCCTCCCTGCACGGAACACAGACCAAACACCCCCGGTGGCAACAGCAGCAAACATTTGCGCATCAGGGCTCTGCCATGAACCCGGACAGGGGGTGAGGACACCCCAAGGCACGCTCTGGGGGGGGGGGTGGCATTTCTTTTGCTCTCCCGGCATCCACTCCAGCGAACTCAGGAGCCACGCAGCCGTGATCCAGGTGGCCCTACCGGCCCGCGGTATTGCGGGAACCAGCCCGCGCTGCGTGGCCGCCCCAGCACTACTGGCCAATGCGGGAAGGCTCCCCGCGCTCAGGCGGCCCTCGTAGCCACCACGCCACCACGTTCCTTTTTTTTTTTTTTTTTTTAAGATTTATGTGTGTATGCACACAGAACTGGGGTACAGGCCAGAGGTGCAGGGGTGGTGAGGGGACTCACCCGAGACAGAGCTGGGAACCGGCAGGTGGACAAAATCCACTGCTGAGGGGGAAGTGGGGAGACAGGAGAGTCTGCTGGCCCTGTGGTCCCTCCCTGGCTGAGCTGCAGCGGCTGCGGCCAGCTTCACAGTGCTGCTGGCCACAGGGAGGGCCCAGCCTCTCTGTTCTTGAGGCAACAGTTGGGATTCAGAAACGAACCAAAAATCAACATGCCACGTTCAATCACTCTAGCGAAGTAGCAAGATTAAATTACTTTATCACATAAAAATTAGAAAATATTTAACTTTATCATTACATTCACTTCATGTTCTACTTCCCTACTGTCTCTGAAAGCAGCATCTGGGCCTGACCAGTGCTTCTTAAAATCCATTGCGATCAATGTTTTGATAATATATAGCGGAGACAGCAAAAAATGGGTAAGTAAATAAACCAACCAGTATATTACCGAATTCCCTCAACTCTTTCTTCCCTGGACACACCTTCGATCGATATAGCCAGAAAGTAGCCCCCATAAGAAACCAGCACCAGGCTTTCTCTGTCGGGTCCTTGCTCCCGAGACGACCAAGAAAAGGAGTACCTAACGGTCGTGCCCAAAGGGCAGCTCAACATTAACGACTCACAGCTCAACATTAACGACTCACAGCTCTCTCTTGTTGCAGTTTCAGAACCACTCAGTAGCTTCGGGTCTCGGAAAAGTTGCAAAATGAGAGAAATGCTGTTATTTGGCTGCGTATTACCGTGTACTCTGAGTGACTCGCACAGGTAGAGAAACCCCGAGAAGAGTGAAGCCTCGACCGGGGCCCAGTTTGCTGCCCGGCTCACTGGCTGGGTGCAGACACGAGGCAGGAGTGGGCAGAGTGGACAGTTGCGCCCTGCTGGCCCGCAGAGGAGAACCCTGCACCCTCGGATGCGCCGCCCACCGGGGACCCCGGCCGGTGCCGCGCGGCTCGGGAAGGCCCTACCTGCAAGGACACCACACTGACGCTGTCGAAGTGGATGTGCCCATTGGGCTCCGTGACAGCCGGGTTTGCGTAGCACGTCACCCCGTTGGCGGCCGGCAGCGCTTTGGGCTGATGAGGCTTCTCTTGGGGAGGACCAAAGTCATTGTTCGCGAAGTGGGAATGATCATTCTACGTGGAGAAACAACATGAAGAAGAGGTGAGGAGGGGAAGAGGCAGCAGCCCACTGACAAGGCCACAGGGCGGTCGGCGCGTCTTGCTGGTCAGAGGAGGACGCCGAGCCTGCCTTGGGCCAGCAGGCGTCTCTCTCCACTGGGAACGCCGCCCCTTCCAGGCCGTCCTCACTGCTCACAGTCCCTGTTTCTGTTTTGTTTTCTTGCCTTGGGCATAGGCCCCTTCCTCCCCTGACAGGCATGAGTGGAATGCAAACTTTTCACAACTGTTACTCAGCATTACTTTAGTCCTAGCTCCCAATGCTGTCCTGTGGATCAGCTTCTCGTGTTCTTCCCACGACAGGGGGCCCTCTCTTTCCCACACTCATTCCTGTGCAGGGAGCGTCCTGAACAAGACGTCAGGCTTTCTAAAGGAAGTTCACCTACCTGGCCATATGTCTTCAGCAGCATCTTAAGAATTCTTTCAACAAAGAAAAGCATGTAAAATCCACCGAACACAGCCACTGCCTTCTCTACATAGTTGTCGATTTTGGGATTGAATCCAAAAGCCTAAGGGGTAGGGAAGGAAAAGCACGTAAAATGAAGTCTTTTCACTTGATTTCTAGAAAATCAGACCAAAACTCTTCAGTAGAAACCTTCACCAAAGGCCTGTGTCCACCGTAATGTCCAGGTGATAGTGAGAACTTACCTGCTGACATCACAAGACAGAAACTCTGAGACCTGACTAGCTGTGAGAGGTGGCAGGGAGCCTATTCAAGAAAGGCCCAGACAACTTGCAGCATCCCTGCTAGATTGTGGGCAATGCCGGCTCCAAGGGGTAAGCCTCCGGAAGCAGCCCTGATGCCCAGGGATAAGGTCACCCCAGACCTGGCCAATGAAGGGAAACGAGACACCCCCTTCCTCCAGAGGGAAGCTCTCTGTGCGCCACAGCCGGAGTCAAAGTGTTAACGCTGATATGCAGACCACCTGGACGACTGAGGCCACCAGAAAGGGCCCCTCGCACCCAGCGGCTCCCGATAAGTCCTCGAAAGATTGCCAAGCCGAGCTGGGCCCCAGAACAAAGAAGCAAGACGTGAGGTGGGACAAACACTGTGACGAGCAGAAAACCACCCGTGTGTGAAGTGCAGCGGGCAGGAGCTGGAGTTGAACCTACAAAGAATCAAGGTCTTAACAGACAACAAGCGTCGGCTTAAATAAACCAGGAGATGAGAGTAAGAGTGAGGAGCCGGGCTGCGCATGTCCCCTGTGAAGCAGCCAGCGAGAGGCCGCCGGTGCGCGTGAGACCTCCCAGCCACACCGTCACTCCGCTCCTCTGACCCACCTGTGCCAGCATGCACGACACCCAGAGCCTCCTGATCGCCTGACGTCTGCAAATAATCCACAGTAACAAAAGGGAAAGAATTCGGAAAAGAAAACAGTCTGTGGAAACTCGAGGCTGCGTGGCAGACCGGTGGCTCAGCACTCATGTGCCCTCTGGTCACGCCCAGGCCCTCCTGCGCCACAGACAGGCCAAGGAGCTTCCCAGACGCTAGGGGGGACGTTTCTGGCTACCCTGAGAGGCATTTGCTGTGTGTCACCCCAGCATCAAAAACATTAGGAAGCTGCAAATTGGTAAGTGTGGGAACTCCTGTCTACACATAACTTCGGTTATTTTTACTTAATTTGATCCCCAAGTCAAAGGAACTGGTATTTCAACCAGGTGTATTTCAGGTGTATCGATCATGTTTATCACATGTTCAGTATCACACACGGGATTTTTAAACTGGCCCAGACATCTGTGGTGCGTGGACATGTTTCTTGGCCCCCTGAACCTCCCTCTAGCTGCCGTCTCTCCCCTCCGCCTCCCCCTGATCCCCCATCCTCTCACTCATCCCCTTCCTTGCACAGTGCAGTGTGAAACCAACCACCGCATCGTCTGGTGACTGGCCGAGCGGCCACTACAGTCAATGGCGGCTCGATGTCAGGGAAAACAACCTGCTATTTATTGGCCCACAATGGATTATTTCCATGATGAAATTAAAAGAAAACATCAGTTTGCTGACCACGCCAGCCCTCCTCCGTTCTCCTCTCCTATAGCTGCTGTAAACGGGCCCAGGGCCTTCGAGTCTACCCTCAGTCAATTTGACACGCGTGCACTTTGTGGGGAAAAATAAATAAAAAGTGCGCCCAAAATAAATTTGCCAAAGGCAGGACTGGAGTTGTGAGGCCCACCGTTTCCCAGGGCTGGTTTTCCTGACACAAAACCTGAGCCAAGCCTGCGGTGCTTCAGCGTCTTTTATGCAAACACGGGAAAGTTCATCTCAATCTAGGAGCACACAAGTGCAAACGGTTGTCTGCAGAAACCAGCAGCAACATCCTTACCTCTGGAATCAGCTGGAAAATAGCGTTTGAAAACAGCGTCCCGATAGCCAGCCCCACAAAGTAGGTCAAAATCTTCGGGAAATAAGACTTCTTTATCAGCGGGGTCAAAATCAAGCCGAGGAGAGACGCCAGATTGATAACTGTCACCGACAGGAATCCATATCCCCAAACTGTGGGTGAGAACGGAGTGGGAATTAGTCAGCAAATGGCGCCAGTGAAGCCTGCATGTGCCACTGACGGTAGATTTCTGTCTAACCGTGGACGCTAGACACAGGTAACTCTTAAAAACAACCAGGTCTCCCTAGTGGAAATGATGTGAAAACCTGAGACGAGAGATGGAGCCTGAGAGATGGATGGTACCGACGCCCCCGTTTCCTGCATTCCTGCATCGCCACGGGATGGCAGGGGGCATTCACCGCTTGCAGGGAACTTGGAAACTTCTAGAACGGCGATAACAATGTGAGGCCAGAGGCTCCAAGCCACCTCCTGTCCTGACGGTGCAAGGCGCGCTCAACAGCACCTTTCCCAGGAACCAGGGGGCGTGAGTTTCAAGGAAAAGGTCTGGGCGTGGGGGTGGGGAGGGTGGCGTGGGGCGCCCGAAGGTGACCAGGGAGCTGGTCATAATCAGTCCACTGCAGGCGCCTCCGGGGGAGAACCCCCCCCCCCAGCTCAGGGCCCCTTGCAGGGAGCACTGAGGGGTGAGCGGAGGGGTGGAGCCCCGCAGCCCCAAACAGGAGCCTCTGCAGTGGGATCCTGGGGCTGAGAGCGTCACAGAAGGAGGACACACGTGTCCTCGACCGCAGCTAAGGCTGCCCGGCTGCCTGTCCCAGAGGGGCTGCCTGAGAAACAACAGCAACTGCACAAGCCAAACAGGTGGGGACCAGGAAGGTGGGGTGTCATGAGGGGAGGTGCCAACAGACCTTGGGTGCGCCCAGGGCCCCACACGGAGCTGGAAGGACAGTGTGCGGGAGGGGCCTCTGACCGCCACTTCCCACGTGCCCAGCAGACATGTTGCCATGTTCCCAGGGACACAGCTCACCTGCAGGGTCACAACACGGGAACTCACAGGGCCGCGCAGGTGTAAGCACGCGGTGCCTGTGTGAGCGTGTCACTCAAGGAACATTTATTGAATGAACAAACACATCAAGGGGAGAATAAAAATAGCCACATGGACAGGTGGACGCCGAGGGCCCAGCGAGGTCAGCCGAGGAACTGCGCGTCGCTAGCCAGCGGACCCCACCCCAGGAGGCTTCCATGCGCCTCATGTACTGCACGACAAACTTATTCTTGCTGTCTCGCGTCCAAGACTCTCCTGGCAGTAAAGTATTCCTTTACCATGCAGCCCTATGGCACCGCAGCGCAACAGCGCTGACTCAGGCCCTCAAGGTTTCACCTAGAGATACCAGTTCTCTTATCCTGCTACTGGCAATTACAGACACACCTGCACCTGATTTTAAAAATAATTTGATGTCTTATGTATTAAGTAAACTTGGCGATAACACGACAAGCACACGCTAATGGAAATTAACAGGCCTGTCATGCGCTAAATAGAGTGTGTGGCGTGTCCTATGCACCGCCTACAACATTGCTGAAAATCGAGAGCTGAGTTTTACCAAGTTTGAGGCGGTAGCAAGGGTAATTTTGACTCCACAGACAGAAAAACTTAACTTAGGAGGCTTAAATGAACTCTAAGTGCATCCATTCTAAATGCTTGCAGGATAGAACTATTTTCCAAAAAGGGATTAACTGCAGCGCCAGTGGAGAAGCAGGCCACCTCCCTTCAGACGAGCCCACGGCTCACACAGGCGGCAGGCCCGGCATACCTTCCGAGAGACTCGGTTTCGTCTTGTGGGGGGCCCGGACCTGGCAGGGGTGGAAGTTCAGCTGCTGTACGACGGCTGGGCAGACGGCAGGGAAGTCGGAGCTGGTGATCTGGGTGTCGTTGGAGAAGCCGTGCAGGGCAAAGATCTCTTCCGCGGATAAACACTGGAATGGAAGGCGCTAGTAAATGTGTGCGGGGTGGCCCGGAAGCGCGGGCCAGCAAAGAGACTCAAGAAACACGTGCCTCAGTGGGGCACCGAGGCCGCCTGAGAACCCGAGGGAGGCCCAGTTCTCACCTCTGTAAACCTGAAAAGTCACTAAAACTCATCAACAATGTGGCCGCAGCAGCCAGAAAGGTGAGACCCGGTGGAGGAAATTTCCAAAGAATTTAAATACTAACGGTGGACTGCCAGCATCCAACAAAGGCTTCAAGATGATTCTATAATATATTCTCAAGCCCTTGCTGTCTTTCTTTGGTGTGAGCGACTGTTTGAGTTGGTCTCTGAGCACTTCTTGCAGATAATCCCCTGAAAGGGTCCTATACCCTCCTCTGGTTTAGGGGTCAGCCATCCTTCTAGAGAGTAATAATCTTCCAACATACGGCAGTAATAGATAGGAATTGGTTTAAGACCTGTCTTTAGCCAGCGTGGTTGTGTGCGAAAATAAGTACTGTTCTCAATAACTTTCCCATATTATGTAAAGTTGTGAAAGCAGCGCTGGGCTCTTTAGAAACTAACCACTCATGAGGACCAGAGTCTGCAAGAAATTCTCCTTAAAAGTACCTTCAACGGCAGCATTTTACTCTTGAGCATATTTTAACTATAAGCTACCTTCTGCATACTTGCAGTATTAAGAAGCGTGTAAAGGAAATTAAACGGACCGCTGGCAGTAATAAAGGCCTGAGGAGTTGCAGAATGCAAAAAGGACCCATCCACTCAGATATCAGGACGGCCGGTCTCTCAGAAGAGCAAGTGAGGAGACGCTTCAGCTGCTCCAGTCAGGAGTAAAACCTCGCCACAGACTGAGCTGTGAGTCTCAAAACTGAGGCCCAACCCCAGTGTGACATAACTTGGAGAGGGGGCTTTGGGGGTGATGGAGTTGACTGGGCCATGGAGGTGGGCCTGCTTGCTCCTCCCCACCCCTCCCTGCCCCTCCCTGCTGTGTGGGGTCCTGACTGCCCTCAGCAGGCCTGCCACCTGCCGCTGGGCACCGCTCCAGCCCCCAGAGTGGTGAGCAGGTCCCAGCCGCCCCTCTGGGCAGCCCGGTGCCCTGGAAGGACGCTGAGGCCTGAGGGCTGACGGTGGTTCACACTCACGGTGGGGGCTGTAACTCCTTCACACAACAGTGCAACTTAAAAGGGAAGATTCTGATGTGAGGAGGCCTCACAGATGACAGAGGCGAGGAAGCACCATCCACACACCCTGCAGATATCAAGAGCGAAGACGGCGACGCCCGTGAAAGGACGTGCGTTTTCCACATCTCCACACACCCAGAGCTGCTCCTCACTCAGCCCGTGCTGTCTGTGGTTCCTGACGGGCCCGTGGCCCCTGCCCCTGAGGAGGGGCACAGCACTCCATGCGGGCCGGGGGCCTCCTGTGGCCGCCATGGGGACATGAACTCCTGCAGGGGAAGCAGCTTCCCAGGCGAAGGGGGGAGAGGCTGGTGTGGTCCTTCCCCCAGAAGCCGGGCAGCAGGGCTGCACCTGCTGGGGTCGCAGGCTGACGGCCGCAGCCGCAGGAACACAGGGGACTGTTTCCCCGCCGGGAAGGCTTGGCTGCTTGGACTTCACGTTCCCCCCTATACAAGACAGGAGGGGCGGGGACAGAGAGCGTGGGGGCCTGCCTGGAATCAGCGCCCCAAGACCCTGGTGATTAGTGAGCAGTTCTTTCCGGGCCCAAGTTGTAGGCCACAGGGTCAGGATGTGCACTGGCCACAGGCAGTCAGCAGCCGGTGCGGGAGAGGTGGCTGCAGGTGCAGGGGCCCGCTGGGGCCACGTCTCACATGCCTGTGCCGTCACAGCCTAACAGTTGTTTGCACTGTGAACCGCCCTCCGGGCTGAGAAGTGGTGCCTTTAAGGAGGCCTGGGCTGCCACTGCCCCACTGAGTTGGGCATCAGGGTCAGTGGATGTGGAGGGCGAGAGGCAGGGGCTGCAGCAGGATGTCCTGGCTATTGCCCGGGAACCAGGTCAGCAGGCTCATGGGGAAGGACACTGTGATGGTGGCCAGGGCCGGTCTGCCGAGAGCACAGGAGGAGGCCGGAGGGCAGAGCTCCAGCCTGGCCTGCGAGAGGCGCTCGCAGAGGAGACACTCAGGGGACGGGCGGCCTGTCCCACGCGCAGCCCAGGCGGCTGTCAGCGGCCTCCTCTTGCTGCGCTTTGATTTTTAAGATCTGAGCGCGAAACACAGTGAGCCGAGGTAGAGGGAGGCCGCGGGTAACCAGGCAGGACAAACAGGATGAGCCCCCGGCTGGGCGGCGAGGGCAGCGGGCGGAGGAAGCACAGGCCCCTTCGCCTCCAAAACAAACACCGCAGCCCTGGCCGCATGGCGGGCCCAGCGAGGGCCCCTCTGAAGCCAGCGGTGCCGAGAGGAGTGGGGCATCCAGATAAAGGCAGGCGTTTCCGCCCGTGCCGCCCTCAGGTTTGGGGTGGCCTCCGAGCGGGGGTGGGAGGCGACTTCCGGGCAGGCAGGTGCCCTGGCAGGGTTCAGACTCTCACTAAACCCTACCCCCGGTGGGGAAGGAGAGCTGTTCCGGGGGCCCCAGGGCCGACGCCCGTCTCCGAAACCCAGGGGTTAAGGCGCAGACCTCAGGGGACCCGCTGTGCCCAGAAAACCCTCAGGGCCTTGGCCCTGCCCCCTTCCCGCCAGGCTTTCGCCAGTGCTGAGCTGACCCCAGGGTGTTGGCCTCTCTGCAGGACCTCTGTGGGAGGGTTGGGGTGCAGCGAGGACCGGTGGGGGGTCCTTCCTCCCATGTGACACCATTGAGGTATGGGCCCTGCCCGGGGTTAGCAGGTCTGAGGCCGCACAGCCGGGACGAGGGGGCAGACGCTCTGCTGAGTGGACGCCAATTGGGCGCCACTGTCTTCTAGGCCGGGACCTCGCCCGGGTCCCGCAGGGCCAGCGCTGCCCGGTTTTGACCGAACCCCGCTGGGCCCACGAGCAGGAGCCCCCTCTCCCCACAGCAGCCACTGGACTCCTCGCCCCAGGCAGACGCCGGTGGCCTGGGCTATGTGGCCAGGGGCCTGTGAGGTCTGGGCAGCCGAAGGCCCTCGCCCCCCAGCCTGCTCCTTGCTCCCAACCCAGTCTCCCCCACGAGCCTTCCTCGTCCACAGTTCCCCCTGGGGTCTCGGTTCCTGCCATGGACGGCAGCCCCTGGCAGGGACATCGCAGCGCTATTGCAGCGTGCGGTCCGCTCCGAGGCATCCTGTGAGTCTCTCGTGGTGCTGACTGACAAGTGAACTGTCACCCTAGGTGTGTGACAGGCGTGTGGAGCGAATCCAGGCTGTGGTTCAGGGGCCCTCTCAGGGTCTTAGTGTCCCCTCCCAGAAAGGGGCGCCACTGAGCTCAGCCTCAGGCTGTTCTGTACGGAGGCCCCCACGTGATCACCCTCGAATAAAATCTGTTTGCATCACCCTGAACCCCAGTTGGGCTCTGCTTCTCTTCAGCAATATCAAGGATAAGCACCAGGCAAAAAGCCTTTTCCTGATTCAACAAATTCTGATGAGCCATAAAGGTCTGGGGCGGCACTGAAGGGGTGCAAGCGGGGAAGCGGGCAGGCAGGAAGGGACAGCCCAAGGCAGTAAGGGGGCGCCTCCCCTAAACGGCAGAAGCACCGGGGGCGCCAGCCTTCCCTGAGGGCTTGCAGCAGCCCGCGGGCAGGGCAGCGCCACGCTCCTTGCTGCCGTCTCGAGAGCACGGTCACTTCTCATTAACCGCGGTGAGCTGGTTCGTGTTTACTTACCTTTAAGACATTAGAGATTTCTAATTTCTCGACGTTCCGTAATTGAAAACGCCCATGACAACAGGGAAGTCGAGTGACACTTTCAAGCGCTTGTCACAGGGCTGAGGGCGCCTGGCCGGGGGCGAGAGCGATGGGGGCTGAGAACGACAGTGGCGGCTTAGTCAAGCGAGCACCAGCGACGCTGGGCCCCGGGGCCGCAGAACGGGATAGCCAGAGGTGTCGCTGGAGGAAGAGGGGCCCGATGAGTCCTTTTGGGGGGCTGGGGCCCACCAAGTAGGTGAGGAGAGAGTTGGATCAGTGCGCGGCCACACCCCGAGCGAGAAATCTGAAGCCGGCCGCCCGTCCAGAAACGTGCGCAGGCAGGTGCCTGTCGGGCGTGAGTGCAGGGACGGCGCAGAATCTAAAGAAGGGGCGCTTGAGACTGAACTCTGAGGACCCCGCACCCGAGGCGAGCAGAAGAAACTGGAATCGCAAAGCAGCGGCCGGAGAGTAGGAAACGCGCGGCCTCGCAGCAAGGAGCAGGCGCGTCTGGCCAGCCCGAGCGGGGGCGGCCCTGGCTGGGAAGGGCCCGCCGCATTGGTGACTCCGGGATGTCCTGTCATGTCAGGGACGAGAGCGGACAGCGCCGGCCCGCGGCGGAGGGAGGCCGAGGGAGGCAGAGGAGAGTCCACAGTTCCACCAAAGACCGTGGTCCCCCGAGCCACCGCCCATGCCCGGCACAAAGGACAGGAACCAGGACCGACGCCGCGTGCCTGCTGTGCCAGGCAAAGTCGGCGACTTCTGCCGAGTGACTTCGTTCTGCCTCAGTTTTCTGTGGAAACGGGTCTGTCCTGATCCTCTTACGCACCGCTTTACCAGAGGTAAGGAGTCAGAAATAACTAACGGTAAGGTTGAAAGTTGAAAACAGCTCGTGCTGGGGGGACTCAGGTCAAGTTTTGGGGCCAGCCCCGGTGACACCGAGACAGCGGCCACGGAGGCCCGGGAGCAACGGGTGTCTGCTCCCCCCAGCAGGGCAGGGCCTGGAAATGAGTGTGGTTTCCATCAGCTTCACAGCCTGGCTGGGCCCCAGCTGGACGCACACAGGGGCTACTGGGAAACAGCCAGCCAGCCGTGGGCAATACCCCATGGCGTGGGGGTCCCGGCCAGAGGAGCCAGGTCAGGAGGGCTGACGCGTGAGCTCCAGTCACCGGGGGCTTCGCTCTGTCCC